GTTGGACAACTATTGCAAATTGTATTCTAAAGCACAGACATCCGTAACCGTAACCGAAACTTTCAGATATCCGAAATAAAAAAAGTAACCGAAACCGGTATAATACTATTCCTATATCCGTAACCGTATCCGAAACTACATACCTATATACATAACATCCCTAGTATTGATGATGTGTAGTATGTAGTTATTCATGAGGAAGGTTAACAGGTATAAAAACTATCCTGTTTTATCCCGGTTCAAGAGAACGAGAGACGCGCGCGAAAGTCCTTCGAAGCCGCGGAAAAATGTTGGAAGGCAATGATATTAAAGAATAATATCATTGTTGGAAGGTATTAAAATGCTACCATAAATCATTTTTTTTTACTTAAAACTGCATTAACTATCACTTATACATTAATAAGCTCTAGAATAAGTAAAGGGCATTCATAGAAAGCTTTCCTGAACAAGTGAAGGTTGCAAAAGGGTAGACGAAATATACTTTGATCCACAACTAGCAGTAGGTACTTTAAATATCTTTTTCTAAAAAGTCAGGCCCTATTTTTAAAAAAAAGCCTAAGTTTTTTTATGGCGTGAAATGACCGGAATGGGCGAGTACTTACTAGAAGAATTAGTCGATACATCTTCCTCGGGGAGTAGTCTCTCTGCCATGGCCATCGTTTACGAGCGAAGTATGTTAGCGGTAGCGCGGTAGGCTTCTACACAGTTGAGTATTTTGCACATGGATTTTATTTTAAGTAAGTAGAATGCTATGACCGAAAGGCATATTGCGAATTCTCGACAGGATTAATGTATTAGCGAGTTTAAGCTTCTTTAGGATAACACACCTGAATAACTTATGAAATAGGTACTCGTGTAAAATAACTAACCTCAGATTGTTAGGTATGTTGTACCTACGTTACTTGGGTTGAGTTACCTACCCTTTTTCCTCCGCGTCAAAAAAGGGTAGTTCTTCCATTATTCTCCTATTTATTAGGTATTCTCCCTTTTAAGTAACTCAAATGTTTACTGTATCTGGCTGGATTTTAACTAATATGTGAATAGAAAAAAGTCTATTCAAGCATTTAATGCTATCATAGCGCAGGGCAGGGCTTTGGGTAATCATGTTTAAAAATCGTTTACAATTTTTTTCGTCCACCTATCTATGTAAGACCTATTATGGATAGTTTATTTATCATTAACTAACTCAACCAATTATCAAATTAATGGTTAAAAATTAGCAAAATTCATTTCAAACGAACCTTTACCTTACCGAAACGAACGGTTACCTTGAATTTCAGTAGAGGTTTAAATTATTGGTTTATAGTTTGATTAGTAACAAATTATTAAAAGTTTGACTATTATAGGTAAGTTATTGGTTACCATACTATAGATCATAAGATATGTAGGTAAGTAATCATAATCTCATTAATTATAGCCGGTAACGTTTAAAAAGAAAGTGAAGTCATTCTGTACACGTTTAAATGTATCTACATATCTAGAGCATTTTTGTCCACCTACTACGATAATAATGCGACGTGAGTAAGCCTACCTATTTGGCGATTTAATGATGATTTTGCTTTTTTATTTGAAGGTTGTGCGTTGTACCTACTTGCTTTGTTGGTAGATATCAGATAACAAAATATATGGGCGTAGACTTTAGCTAGTAATGCAAAACACGTAAAACCTGATTAAACCAGAGTTACTTTTCTGTGATTGGTTGATTTACAAAATTTCAATCAGCTGATTGCGTTTCACGGGTCTTATCACTGAAAATAAATAGATAGTACACAATAAACATAAAAAAAACAATGCACAAGGCTACTAAAATAAAACCAAATATGGACCAAACAAGTTCTATGTTTATTTTCATCACAAACTCATATGACATCATTAATAAAATAACATAATCATTATAATCTAACAAAAATATGTGTTATCTCAAAATAGAGCAATTTATTTATATAATAGCCTTTCTACTATAACTAAATGAAATTTAATTTACATTTATTTATATTTATTTATGCTTAAATTTATAATATTTACTGTTTAATTATCACGTGGTTTGTTACCCTACCAAATGGTACTACCTCGGTCTGATTGCTAAACCTGCAATCACTTAACGTAGCGTTAGGTATTGCATTCTTCAATCTAATAAATTCTTTTTCCTTAGTTAAAATAAGGTTTCATTAATTTTATTTTTTATCAAACAATGAGATTCCTTTTTATATTTAATGAAAGGCGAATATTCTATCAACTCGAGACAGCAAAATTGAGTGATTTATTTTGATCAGAAACCACATGAGTTACATCTGTGCGCTCAGCACAAGATCACAATCCAGAGGTAAACCACATCGTTACCTCAGAAAACGTATGTTAAAAATAAAATACTTGTAAGTAATTATAAATGAATCGAATATATCTGATCTGTATCTGAATTTCGACAACAGAAATCATCATAGCAGTGGATTATATTATGGATTTCAGAATAAAATATTATTACTGATTGATAGCTAAACTCTTTCTTGATGCATGTCGAAGTTTAAAATGTTTATTATTGATATGGAGCATAAAGTAACTGAATATCATATAATATACCCTTTTAAATAGGTATACATATAAAATTTATGATTATTAGTTTACGCGTATCGTAAAATGATGAATACACATAATGTCGGATAAAAGTAGCTAACGAATTAGTAGGTTTACCTTCTATAAAGCTAATTGAAAGGTGTACCACTACAGCGAGTTGCAATATTGTGTTCAAGAAAAAGCACACGAATTTATCACTAAGGGTACTACAATTTATTCATAACAAATTATAAATATACACAATCCTAGGCACCTACGTATTTATACTTGATTGTAACTTAACTAATATTAATTTATTTGATCTAAGTATCGTAAACGAAATAATTCGCTACAGAGATTATCGACCTTCATCTTCAACACTTGTTATTCAAGAGCAAGTTACATTCTACCTGTCCTTTCATATTTGAGATTTCAAGAATGTAAAAATAAAGTTGATTATAATTGTATTAATGCACTTATCTATCTAAGTTAATTGTTATAACATGAAAAACAGGCCAACAGAGATATTGTTTTAAGTGCGGTACTAAATACCAAAAAATGCAATGTTCGAATATTATTTAATTACAAAAAATATAATCAGACGATTGATCTTTTTGAATTAATTTAAAATACAACAAGCGTATTAAATTTTATTAGGGACTGGAAATACATATTTCAATGTTCAAAGTCATTTCATGTTGCAATAAAAGGATATTTATTAATTTTAAATAACTTAAAAAAACATTTGTGTTAGTTATTTATTTTTCATCTTGATTACTGAAACTGAGTGAGATTCGACTAAAATGTAAAATCCAATGGTAGGAGAATATTAAGAGCAAAATAGCAAAATTATTTTTATAATAATTAGGTGATGTTTTGTTGACCACAAAATATAAATAATTTGTATAACTAACAATATCTATAATATAGTAAATGATGTTCCAAATTATTATTAAAATAAATAATTTAAAAGTAAATTGGAACGATATAGGAAGACATTTGAACATATTCAACGTCATTTTCTATCTAATTTAAAGTTTATTGAATCTTCAAAGAAGAAGACAATAATTTTCCAATGCACAAATAGTCCAGTCAATGAATGCCTTAACGACGGTGTAGAGAGAAAACCGTGGAACACAATTTCTGACCTCGGGACTTTATTTAGCCTAGTTAGGTGGTGAACATAGCAAAAGTCCCCGCCCTTAGCCCTTGAGCCGGCGGGGAGAGGGGGGTTTAAAGGTACCACTTTTCGGTTTTTCGCTTAATCCTCGGAAACTATGCGTCTTAGTGACACGACAACTATGAACCAAAAAAAGCTTATTCAATTTGCTACAGGTGAGACCGTCAAGTTTTTCTATATCTTGTATAGTTTTTGCGGCATCTGCTCTAGAAGGTCTGTAAAATTGGAAATTTTATTGTTGTCTTACATGTTCCTTTCAGGAGAAAATCGACTAAATCAACATAGAGCAAACACTATAGACATGCGGGAGCATGTTAAGCCTAGTTCCATGGAGGGGACTGCACCGTGCGTATATTTAGACGAACCAATTAGAGTCACTTTTGACTCCTCATCAATCAAAAACTACTGTGCATTAACACTTCAAATTTGGCTCATGTATTGAGACTTGCAAGATATACATCAGCTTCAAATTTCATAAATATACCTCAAACGGTTATTTAGGTATTGACGTTCAAAAATCGATATTTAGAGCACTAAAATCTATCTATCACATGTGAAATGTTAAAATTTACTGGTTTTTTATTTGTTCCTTTGTATTTACATAACTACCTTTCTGGATGCCAAATTTGAACCTTCGAGGTCATCTGGAAGTGGTTGGAATTTGGTCTATTGGTCAGACATGTAGATTTTTGGACGTCAATATCTAAAGAACCGTTTGAGGCATATTTATAAAATTTAAAACTGATGTATATCTTGCAAGTCTCAACACATGAGCCAAATTTGAAGTGTTAATGCACAGTAGTTTTTGAGTGATGAGGAGTCAAAAGTGGCTCAAAGTGATTCGTCTAAATATACGCACGGTGTAGTCCCCTCGCAGGAACTATGCTTAACATGCTCCCGCATGTCTAGAATGATTGCTCAATGTTGATTTAGTCGATTTTCTCCTGATGGGAACATGTAAGACAAAAATAAAATTTCCAATATTACAGACTTTCTAGAGCAGATGCCGCGAAAACTATACAATTTATAGAAAAACTTGTCTATCTCACCTGTAGCAAATTGAATATGCTTTTTTTGGTTCAAAGTAGTCATGTCACTAGGACGCATAGTTTCCGAGAATTAAGCGAAAAACTGAAAAGTGGCACCTTTAAACCCCCCTCTCCCCGCCGGCTCAAGGGCTAAGGGCGGGGACTTTTGCTATGTTCACCTCCTAACTAGTCTAAATAAAGTCCTGAAGTCAGAAATTGTGTTCTACAGTTTTCCATCTATAATACTTTATTGACTGGACTAAAAGAGACTGTATTTCGTTGCAGCCATGACACACTCGTGTTTTGTTGCAATTATATTGGTTTCCTGTATTTTCTCAAACTTACACGTTATTGTTATCTTACATTACAATAAAGAGTCAAACAGTACTAAAGGCTACAGAGTCAAATATAAGACAAAAGCGCGTAATTACGAATAACATAACAATAAACACAGATGTTTTACTCAATATGATAAATAAATACATTGACGCGCGTGCGTGGGCGACTGTCGACACCCTTCTGGTAATGCGAGTGTAGCGACAAGCGAGTGCGTTGCAGCTAACTCACTTACCGTACAAAGTAAAGGGTATCTATCGTATCAATCTGATTGACTAACCAGAACAGTTAATCCATGTAAAATTTTAATAAACTTAATTAGTTAATATGGCCAAAACATTACATTATCAACAACAGCATACAATTCAGTAACTACACATTAATCAAATAAAATTTTAAGGGCGCACCGTACATAGACAGTCAACGTAAAATGTTTTGTACTTGTAAGTCTTTAAAATTTTCACAAAATTTGACTCTAACCACTTAACTATTGGATACATAAATAGATCTTATCAAATTCGAGATACAGTGGGAATATTAGGATATTTTGTTTTGTACCTACAAATGGATTTAATGTACCTATTATGGCAATATTAATGCACGACCAGACGCGTACTGTAAATGTGGATGCAAGTATTTTACTACTTTTAGTTCAATACTGTGAATTGGATACTCAACTTAATTGGTTTATCTGCCAAGACTAAGACTAAAAAGTTATTCAGTTTTGTATAATTTAGTATTGAGCTAGGCAGATGTATCACAAGCTCGTATCATAGCGTAGGGCGGTGAGGTCTGATTCTCCCATCCGCATTCTGAGCGGAAAAAAACTGTAGATGATTTATTTTCATGTAGAATATCTACATGGGATACTTATTAACTACCTATGTTGTTATCATCTTGTGATGTGGGGTTTTAAGGCACGACTCAGAATACGGGCACCGACTTTGATTTAAAGATGCGTGATGACGATTTCGTCGTCAATCTCGTCCTTCTCGTCGTCTTCTTCAGGTGGTTGCTTGGCGGCTTCGGCGGCTACAACGGGATCTTCGGCGATGGCTTTCAGGCGGCGAGCCTGGAAACAAAAATAATATTAATAAGCATCATCATCACATCATCATAAAATGCCATCCGGGCACTCAGCGATTAACCGACACATGTAACATTTTACACATTAGTGTTCAGCTTCTGCAAGGCACTTGATAATGAAAATTACAAACACATTAATATTAATGCTGTCTTTGTTTCTCAAAATTCAGTCGACCTACATTCAATCTCCATCCTCAGCAGAGATTCAGACATTATAGTGATTGGAGAGTTGAACTATGTATTTCAACGTGTACAGAGCTAAATAGTGGTCTGTCATCCGTTTTGCGATGGAGGGAAGTCGAACCTGAATTTCGAACTCCTAGGTTCCTCTGATTAATTTTGTTGCGGGTACAATGACAGTTTAACTTTCCCCTGGGACAAACTTGACCTTCGCTGGTTGGGTTTTTATTGGCGGACAAGCTGTAGATCCTGGCTAAACAGAAGTTGCAGCAGTGGGAACGAGAGGTGGGGAAAGTCCCGTATCATCAGGCCATTTAGTCTCCACTGCAGGAGCTCGACCTTCTCTAAACGAGACAAATGGATGATTTGGCCTACCTACACTTCTTATGCTGGGCATACAGGTTGAGCCTGTTGGCATATTTTATCTTTCTTTCAAGATCAGCAGCAAGAGCATTTTAACATTAGCATTATCTAAATAAACATTTTAACAAATCCCAAGGCCTTTAAGGTACGAATGAATAGGCATCTTCTGGGCAAACACGCTTCATTATAAAAATATGATCATTATTTTTCATTTTATTTTATAATTAATAATATTTTTGGGGAACAAACAATCATAGATTAAAAATCCTAGAATTTTACGTTGTTTTAGAAAATAACTGGTCTTGTCCAGAGAAACGGGATACTAAACATAGAATGAAAAATCCGAATTCTGCATAACATTTCAACCGTGAAATAAGTCATTTGTCCCAATTTGCATAAATTTCAGCATTTGTTAATGCGATCAAAGTGTGTTTTGTGACGTATTGGCAATGTGTTTTTGAACAATGTCTCCACATGACTGTATTTATACAAGTTCGAGTCATATGACTGTTTCAATGGGTTTCGTTACTAATAGACAACAAATATAATAAGTACTTAAATAAAATGGACTTCCAAAAATATCTGCTTGTAAATAACTGTTTTCTTCTTCACATACCTAGTTATAATTACTCCTAGCGATTTTAAGTGACAAATAGGTTCAATCGACACATTTAGCGTTCAGCTTCTGCAAGGCACTTGATAATGAAAAGTTACAAACACAAAAATGTTAATGCTGTCTTTGTTTCTCAAAATTCAGTCGTCGTCGTCGTCGTCGTCGTTTCAGCCGAAAGACGTCCACTGCTGGACAAAGGCCTCCCCCAAGGATTTCCACAAAGACCGGTCCTGCGCCGCTTGCATCCAGGTACTTCCCGCGACCGCGAAAATTCAGTCGACCTACATTCAATCTCAATCCTCAACAGAGATTCCGACATTGTAGTGATTGGAGAGTTGAACTATGTATTTCAACGTGTAATGGCTAAATAGTGGCCTACATTACTTCCCCGTAGTGATGGTAGAATCAATCCAATGAAGTCAAAAGAAATAAAAACGTAAGAAATAAAAACGTTAAAAATAGAAAATAAGAACATAATTTTATAGCCACGTTAGTCGAACGGTGAAAGAGTTGAATTGGCCGACTCGTGATCCGAGGAACGCGGGTTCGAACCCCGCTCGACTATTACACCCACTGGTAACGCAAGAATATTTAGCTTACCACGATTAACGGGAACGGGATTATAAGTATTTTCTATTTACAAATTGATAATATTATTTAAAAAAAAAATTAATAAATTCCACTGACCTTTCTCTTGTGAAGTATCTCCACGATGATATAGCCGATCACGCCGACGAGCAGCACCACCATCATCACGTACAACTTCATGCGGGCGCACAGGTGGGTGGAATACGCGTATGCCACCACAAAGCCAGCGCTCTCCCACAGCCTGAAGTTGGAGAAGGCAGCCTCCTTGTTGCGTCTGAACAGCACTCCGTAAAGACCTGGAAAAGAGGATATGTCAATTGGTTCAACTGTCATCAGGAATTAGCCCTAAATTCAGTTTGTATTATGGGTAGACGGGAATAAATACGAATGCATCAAAAACTCATGGCTCGGAGGATATGAATGAAACATTGTGGTAGACTGCAGGTCTTATGTCGCTAAAGGCGCAAAAGAAACTTATGTTTGCTTGGTGTTAATCGTCAGGGTTGCTGGCCGACCATATATGTATTAGCTAGCTAAGTTAGGCCAGACGTTCAACTGCTTGAAGCAGTCCGTGTACGGCTGGCCTAAGTTCCTAAATATCGGGATTTACTCGTATTATGACGAGTAAGACAAACGATAAAATATTAAAATTCATTATGCATTACTCATGTTAAAAATATTTCATAGAATGTAATTTTCAGCAATCAATATTATAATTAGTAGCTAACATAGGATTAACAGAAAAAGTCCCTCACTCCAAGTATTTCATATTAATCGCTACTTTCGAAAATCCAATAAATACTTTTTAAGTTGATAATATTTGAATGATTATAAATGATACTGACAGGTAGTGGCCAGCGTTCGTTTTCTCTATACTAGTTAAATTCTAGGGTTCTCTTTGTTAGAACCACTGCTTAGCTTTCCACTATCGATGTTTTAATATACTCGTAAAGCCTGCCTAGTAAAAACTACTAGAAGCTATTTTTAGCTACATTACAATTTGTTTTATTTTGTATTTCAAACGTTTCAGTTACAACAATACTACGTTTGTTTGTATGATGCAGTAAAAAATGCAGGAGACGTTGTTTTATACCGCGGGCGTTAGTATAATGGACTAAGTAGGTACAAGAAGAAGTCGACGTCAACTCGTTTTGATAAAAACGAAATATATGAGCTGTAACCCTCTGTTGTGGGCAACAGAATGGAATGAAGCTCAGTCTATAATTGCTAATTATTTAAGAGAGAAACTGCAGGAAACGTGTTTCTACCGATCGCACGTGACCACGTCATGGCAAGTGGTCTTTTGATGAGATAAAAATCATCGATTAACCGCTACTAGTCTACCACATTAGTTTTCTTATAATGAAGTCTCAATTGTAAGAGCTTCCATAAACTCGTACGCTTCGTAAAACAATCCGTTTTTAGAACTTTGAAGATTAGAGTCAGAAAGATATGTCAGCTCATAAGTTCAGACTTATTCTTTTGATTAGTATTAATAGCCCTAATGCCAACATCTTCCGAACAATTCAGGCGTAAGATGGTATAAAAACCCGTGCATTTTTGAATTACCAATACCAAGGCCCTTCCTGTCTGTAACTTGTGTGCAGTTTTCAAAAACTTTTTTTGCAAATTCCGTTTTTGTTCCTTTATCACGTACTCGCTGTTTACTGAACCGTAAACGCAATAGTTTTTCAGTTGTAATAATAAATTGCACTTTATATGTTGCAAATGTAAGCGTTGCTTATATTAGAGTACGTTATAGAATAATGAGAAATGAAATAGAAATCTAGACTTAATTATGTTTAAGTTTGTAATAAGTAATTGAGTTTATTGTGAACTGTGTTGGGTTTGTTCAACTATGGCCTTTTGTGTTATTACAAAAACAAAAAAGGCTAGAATGATCAGCTAATTACTACTACTATGATCGGATTGTGCGAGCTGATGAAATAAGAAAGTTGGACCCAATCACTAGCTTTTTCTTCACGTCAGCGGTGTAGTTAATACTAGTACATATCTATCTATATACATATTCTGCACCCAACAGGATTGAGTTGAAGTTAAATCTTCTTTAAAATTTACTGTATATCTGTCAACAACTTCCTCTATTTGCTAATTTGACCTACTAGTGGAACTGGATTGTTAGGATAAATAGAGTAAGATATATCCAGATTAATTGTGGATTATGAACTCTACATTTCAGCCATTATTGACTCCATTCCTATTTATCATTATTTATTTTAACACACAAAAACACCCCCAACCCAAACATAATTTTGTGTCAACTCCAGTGGCATATTTGTGACGCGTTGATGTCTTTTAGGGGTCTCTATGAATAAGTTTTACTCAGTGAACAAAAACCAGGATCTTTGGTATTTCACGATAAAAATAACTAAAAATAAAAATAGTTCGACTATCACTCCATGTAAAAAGTCCTCCATAATTAATTGTTTCTGCTTAAGAAAAATGAAAAAATAAAAACCAAAATCCATAGAAAAAAATTAACAATCCAAACTTTTGAATATCCTGGCTCATTATTGCCATGCGCGCGCACGCGCACAGTCGGAACGAATGCAGTGAGTAACTACTAGCGTGCACGGAACGGTTTTTTTCTTTTCGGCCAATCGATTATGGAGAGGTTATTAAAATCCAATGAGCCTTGCCAGTTCAATCACTGCAACTTTACTCAATCTCATTATTTATAAACTAATTATGCTTGCATGCATCGATTGTATGTTTATTAACAATAATCTAAACACAGATTTAATTCATTCTTTTTTGCATGAACATTTTTTACACTTATGTAGCTGAATAGTTAATGCAAAACTAGAATTCTAAGAAATTCAAAGACGCAGGCAGTTACTAAGGTTGTCTTAGAAATAATAAGTAACAATTATTTCTGTAATTACTACAAGAATAGAACAATATGATTGTGTTATAAAGGACGATAACGCAGGCAGCGCTACACTGTATATTAAACCTCGTACGCGTGTTTGTGATGTTGCAATTCTTGTTTTTAAATTTCAAATGATGGAATGAGCCTCAAGACAAAGACAATTAACTTATCAAATCTTATGGATAGATTCACATAATCTACTCTATTACCATAAAAAAAAGCTAACTAGGGTATTCTGAAAAAAGTTCTTACCATTGATTTGAGTCTGCCACACAGCATCACCGACTCCCCACAGGCCGGAGATGACGAAGAATACCGTAGGGGAGTTGGGGTTCGGCATCCAGATGAGGAGCCACACGATCAGGCCGAGGTGGAGGGCCGCGCCCATCACGAGGATCGGGAACCTTCCGATGTACTTCATGGCAGACCCGAAGACCAGCGAGCACAGCGCGTTCACCACGCCGAAGCAGATCATCACATAACCGATCGAGTGGATGCCGAGCGCGCACGAGACGTATGCCTGAAAAAATATCGTGCTTAGACCGCGTGTACACTTACTGTTATATTTTTTGTACGGCATCGAGTGCCGGTATCGATTACATTACAACATAACCTCGTAATTCCAACGGACACGTGGAAGTTACAAATGGTCGGTCGACCACCCAACTAGGGCTTCCAATCCCGCAATACCGAGATCTCGGTATTCCGGGATCCCGCATCATTTTTAGTCCCGCGTGCTGCGGGATTATGGGGGCGGGATCCCGCGGGATTTGCGGGACTGTAAAGAAACATGCGCACGACCATTTGCGACCGCGATCGGTCGGCTACTGAAATACTCTATGAGTCCGGAGGGTCAATGGGGAAATATCTCACATTTACATATAATTCTTTAAAAGGAATACCACCGACAAGTGTGGAAGCCGAAAGAGCCTTCTCTGCTGCTGGCTATATTGCCTCTAAAATACGCTGCAGTTTGGCAGACGACACTTTAGACATGCTATGTTTTCTTCGCAATCATTTCCAATTGAATGATAAAAAAATATGAAAGAAACTAAATAACTCTTTATCATTCAGCTGAAACTGTTTTTTTCTATTGTACTTCATTGAAGTTGATTGTATTTTTATATTTGACCTCAGTAATTGAATGATCTCATTTAACGTTAATTAAAGTGAAATTACGTTGATTTAATTTGATTAATGTATTGTTTTATTCGCCTCACATAACATTTTTCATAATTATATGCGGGATCCCGCCAATACCGGGATCCCGCGGGATTTGAATTCCAACTCCCGCCAATACCGGGATCAAGCATGGGGTGCGGGATTGGAAGCCCTACACCCAACTACACCATTCTTTTAACGTTCTTGTAATCTACACGAGGAACATAAGACGTAATAGTATGTAGGTACATGTGTCTTTGTTTTAGTTGGAATTAAAAAAGAAAATCCAAAGTAGGTAAATAGTGTGAAAATGCCATTAAACTTCTCCAATGTTCTCGATACGTTTAGCTACACATTATGACATAATGGCATAACGGTTAGTTGTAATGCAAGCTGGAGGTCATTTGATTGGCAAAAAATGGTATCGGTTCTGTATGCTCGATAAAACGATTCGTGAGAAATGGCAATTCGTCCATCTTATGAATGTAGCACCTCTCGGTTCACCAGAAATAGATCGATTTGTTATAAAAATACGACTTTGTTGCTATCAAGTCACGATTTTTGACGCACTTTATTGGAGTTAATTTAATATACCTATACATCCGGGAAATGTAACTAGGATAGCTTTGCAATTTACATGTCAATATTGACTTCTTTCTTAGTGGTTATTAACATTAATTCTTAGCCAGTTTTCTATTATAATTTCTTTCATGGTGATTCCCAAAAAATAACTAAAATAATCTCATTGATGAACTACGAACGAGTATACCTAAGGATATTTGAGCGATAATGTAGATACCTCAGTTGTAAAAGTCTAAATGTTTTATTTCATGGCGATAATTGCAATACCCAACTATGATATGATATTTATTAGAAATATGAGCAATATGCACCTACCTGTGTGTAATCTGCCCCAATAAAGGCTTGTTCCATACCAATCCAGAGAGTGATCGGGATAAGTAGTTGCTGGTTCGGTTTCTTGAGCTGGTACGCGGTGGCGGAAAGTAGCTGAATACCGGTCAATTCCTTTGATGGATCCGACTTCCTCTGTTTCTCACCGTACCTATAACAACGATTTGTTACAATGAGTATTGTAAGCATGGGACTCAAATCTAGACTTCCAAAACACAACGTTGTTCTTGTGCGATGTTAGACAATCGTAATGAACTATCCAATTGTACAAAAGTAACTGTCTGTCTCTTTAGTACGTACTCATATGTAAATCGCTGAACCACTGAAAAAAAATTGGATGTTTTTTGATGACATAAAAAATAATAGTTTGTAGGTACCTACCTACTGATATATTTATGGAAAAAAATATTTACTTTTTAAAATTTCGACAACGATTTCTTTCTCTGCCTTTAGCGACGCCGAGAGCTGACACAAGTTAATGTTTTAAAGTGAAAGAAAACACGAGCAAATTACTGATGACTTTAAATGTATTAAAGCGATTTCATGGCGATTTGATTTCAAGTCTCTTCCGCTTTATGTAATACGGTTTAAAACTGCTTGTACCAGACAGTGCCAATGACTGGTGACTCAAAATTCACGAGTTCACACAAAAAAGGCTTTAAAACCCGCTTGAATATCAATCAAAGTAACAAACGCCGTATCAAACACGGCAAAAACTAGACGATACATTTTGTACAAATTGAATAGAGGAACTACATGACGGTAATTTAGTACAGCATCAATTACACGGCATTCGGCATAAGGCAAATCATATTTAGTTAAGGGAATTGCCAATAACTGATTATGTTTGTTATCGCCGAACACAAGTATCTACCTATTAGAGAGTTTGAGACTCGATTAAGTCGCAATTTTAAGTAATGTTGATTTTAAAAAAGGTAACTAGACAGAGTAGTATTGTTTGAATGCACATAAACGGTGTGTTGGCGGTCTAGGCAGACATTTTTGTTGTTAACTATTTAAAATCTATGAGAAAAATAACTAAGTGGCAAGTTAACCAAGTAAAACAAAAAAACAGTATGAACAAAAACCAGGTAAACATAAAAAGCGAATTAACAAAAACAAGTCAAAGGAGTGAATGACATTTAACCCAAATGGACATCATTTTCATCCTCCAAACTTCAAGCTGAATACTGGCATCTTATTGATGACCTACACTGAACTGTCCCACTAAACTCATTGACAGGGGGGCGCCACCATCGTTCAATTATACATATTATAGTTTCCAACATGGCAAAAATCGGAACCAGCGATCCGCTATTGACGGTGGCGCCCCCCTGTCACGGGTGGGACAGTTCAGTGTATTGGGTCTTGGGTCTATACGTGGTTGTGACAAGTGCTTATTTGGCGACACTTTTTCTGGTGTGCAGATGTTTGCGATATGTAAAATAAAATGAATAAGTAACAATACCGTACCTGGACAGTGGGTCAACAAGTAGTGCGACCATGAGCACAGCCACCATAACACACGCCAAGTAGATGGCGCTGATCTTGTAGATTTCGTCATTGGGCGGCCTGTTCAGGTTGTGGTTCTTGTCCTGGTCGATGCCGCCGATCATGCAGAAGTTGGCACCGCACTTCAGGAAGCTCTGGCTCGCGTTGATGTGCGTGGTGTTCCCACTATGCACTCCAGATGAGAATACTGTGGGGTGAACAACATTTTGTTAATCGTCTTAAATATTAAATCGGAGAAAAACAGTTTTAAATGAGAATTTAAAAGGTTCTGTCACTGATGTTCTGACCAGGAATTAACGGCAATCAACGATTATAGGTTTGATGAATTTAGGTTTGGTGTAATACTCGACACCCTATTTTGAAAAATTAGGTAACTTTTTTTGATGATTAAAGAATCTACACTTATTTTTAAAACTTACATATAATCAACAGATTAATTAATATAGAAAAGTTTTCTCACCCAAACTTGAGATCAAATTTCCCCAGAGCTCGGCAGTCTGCCACGCCAGGAAGAAGAATCCGAAGAACCGTACGATGATTCCGTCCACCGCTTGGTCCGTCAGTTTTGCGTACACACTTCCAGCCTGCGTCAGGTATGTAGCCTTGGAAGTCCACATAGGGGCTGCGCCCAACCCTGCTACGATGCCGGCAGGAACTAATGTGTAGAATGCTGGGTAGAACTGCGCGCCAATGTATGGCGCGTAGCAAAGCATAGAGACGCACAGCGTCCATTTGACTGTTAGCCTCTTAATCAAGAATGTGGGTACAAATATACAAGATACCACGAGGGCCGCGTATATCGAGCTTAACGAAACCGTCCCAAGGCCATCGGTGGCGTTTATCGACGATTGGAGATTGGCGGTTCCTTGAAAAGCGGTGAACTGTACCATGAACGCGCATGATACCGCAGCAATGTTCTTTAATATTCTCCATTTTTCATTTAACGTTAGCTTCACTTTTCCAGATGGGTAGTTGTCGTCTTCCGTCGGAAGTGGCGGTGGTTTAACGATGTCGTCGTTGGAATCCCGGTCGTGTTGGTAGCCGTCATTTTTGAAGCCAGTTTTGATGGTGTATATGGTATCTTTGTCCGGACGGTCGTCTTCTCGTCCGCCACCGTGCGTAGCAGTCATGCCGTGTTACCTCCTGGTGCCCTGAGAACAATACAAAAGTTTTTGTCAGAAAATGCTACCTACTCGAAGTACGGTAAACACTTAGGACCATTATGTAAATAACCGAAATTTTTCCGTTACATATTTATAGTGGCAAATATTTATGATAACACATGTAACTTTGTAATGTTACGCCGATGGTAAGGTATTTACTCTGTATTATCTCCAGTGAGGAAGTTTTTGTAACAAACACGATTTGATTCGCACCGCACCTCACAATGGCTGCCCATCGGTTGGGTACATGCTGTTCTATTGTTAATATAGTTTTACAAATCGTTTCGTCATGACAATAATCGCATGTATGAGTTCGAACTCCCATATTAAATATAGTATACATGCCTACCGGCAAGTTACAATAAAAAATGTAGGAATTCCTAATAATAAAATTAGAATCCTTGGTTAAAAAATAATCCCACTTATGCTATAGTATGTAGTATAACTTGTGATTAATTTCATAAACAACTCTATAAATATTAATAAACAATCTTTTTAAGCTTTGAAAATAAAAAATCGAAGCTTAAAACTAAGACCACAGATAATATAATACCTAAGACTAACTTGAGTAGTATCTATCATTGATAGGAACAATAGGAGGTTTCAAATAATTTTACGGTAAAATTTTAATAGTTGCGGCTTATCGAGAATATTCCTTTATTTTGTTAATCTTGCGTATTTTATTAAGAATGCAAACCGATCGATTTTTCTTTAATTACCATTTAAAGCGTTAAATGTAGATATTTCTGAACTTAAATATTAATGGTAGTGGAATTTCTTTTTAAACGATATCCACTTTAACTTAGGTAACAGTTTAATACAATAATTCTAGGAATAGGTACAGTATAAAACTACAGTATTCGGCACAATTATTCTAATCTAAATAGGAAAATTTTAATAAAAAGCTAAGGCTCAGAGGAAACACTACTACTCACGAAAGCTTATTTTGGCTTGAAAGTGGATGCAACAGAATCGCCAATCATGTTCACTGTATATACATTTCGTTTATATCGATTTGTACGAGCGAACGTCTGTTTCGTATTACGCGTTGTAACACAAGTCCAGTTTACAAACGGTTTGCTTGTCCGCGACACTAAAGCACAACACGTGGCGCTAGTGTTGTAAGAAACTCGAGTCTTGGAGTCTTATTTAGTACAGCTTAAGTTATTTTTGAAGACTCGAGTCTTATAAATAAAACTTCGAGTTCAAGTCTTTCAGAATTTGGAGTCTGTTGTAAATAACTCGAGTCCTGCCAAAAAGAACCCAAAAGACTGAGTCTTTTTAATTCAAAAATCAGTAAACACGGATGAAGATAATAAATTAATCACCTATTATAATACACCAACTTAAGTTCTTGACGCAGTTTAGCTCAAATAATTTAAAAGACTCGAAAGGACTCAGAAGATTCGAAATGATTCGGGCTCATGTGACTAACGAGTCCTAGTCTAAAAATAGACTCAAGCCTCGAAACGAAGACTAAAAGACTCGAGTTTCTTACAACTCTACGTGGCGAGCAGGCGATCAGCGAGGAAAGCAGCGCTCAGTGTAGAAAGTTATCAATACATGCCTCGGATAGACAGACCAACACAATTCAATTTGGGTCTACAAATTGAAACATAGCCCAGATAGGAACATTTCCATCTGTGTACTCGATAAATGCGTAATTGCTATAACCTGTTCAGGTTCTACATTAAAATAGATTGGAAAACGGAAATGGTTGTCAGCTGTTCATTTGACAATATGCGTTGGGTTATAATACCATAGCTGAACAAGGAAGTGCTGTTAGAACATAGATTTCAACAAGTTCATTAACAATATTTTCTTTTCTTGAAGCTTAGTGGCAGTAATTTCCATAATTCATGAATATTATCCGTATTTCTTGAGTCACACGGTGTATTAAAAAAATATATTTAACGATTTATACAGCGTATTTATTTAAATGAAGACGGTTTAAAACTTTGTATTCAAACTTAAAAAGTTCAAGTTGTCCATCAATGATTAAATATGTTTTTTAGATTTTGAGGAACACCCATTTTCCTTTTTACCACATACATATGCCTAAGTAGGTCCATAATAAATCTTTGTAGAACACCTTTTATTACACTAGGCCTACCTTTACGCGTTCGATTGCTCTAAGCCAGAAGAAATCTTTATTTGTCTTCTCACAGTTTCAGTAGTGGCAAAGACAATTCAGTAGCACTAATTAAAAAAAATAGTACAACTATCTATTATACCAATAAATGCCTAATGAAATATGTAAATAGCGCTATTGTTCCAATGCCCAAAAGAAGACTTTGAAAAATAACAGCAAAATCCGCGCTTGGCTGAAGACGACGTGACAATCGGCAAAAAATTGCTACTTCCACAACAAATGTGGCTAATTAGTCGGTCATACTCTAACGCGCCGATGAATATTTATACGACTAGTTCAAACACACCACAAGCGATTTTGTGTTTTACTAGATTAGCCCGCCTATAAATAAATCATGCACTTCGATTAGGAAATAGATTTAAAACACTGATCTTCCGATAAAATAAAACAAAAATCATTAAACTCTAATTTTTAAATTAGAGTTTAATGATTTTTCTTTTATTATGACTTTAACATTTGGGTTTATAATAACTGCAATTAAGAATGTGTATTTTCATTTTTTCCCCTTTTAACTAAAAATCAAAAAGGGTGTCGTTATAATCAAAAGAAATCAATGATAATAGAATGATAATGAGTTTATGTGCATCTGTAGCGACAATGGGTATACCTCTATCGATTCGGCCTCAGTTAAACGCAAAATGGTTTATTCTAAAGAGACGGCCTGTGATTAATGTATGTACGTGCTCAAGAAGTTGTACGAGAAAGGATAGAATACAATTAAAATCAGTCTGTACCAGCCAGTAGCCGCCGCAGACATGTCGAAACGAGCTGGTATTCCGTTCGTGTAGCCACCCAAATCGGCTATAGCGATTGAATGTCCCATTGTGCAATTTAATGACAACGTGGTGCTACGATTGTTTGTTGTTAAATTTGTAACGCGAACTCAGGTTTGCGAAGTGTGGACAGACTGCTCGATGATTGTCGGCAGCCATATCTTGTTATTAACTGCGTCCAAAGGTGAAATTGTTTGAGTACATAGGTCCACAAGGTAATTTTCCTTTACAGTAGTTTCCTAAAGTTTAATAAGCCAATATTGCTTCATATTAATATGTAATTGCAACATCCTGCCCTTATTCAATTGTTGTCTTTATTCATGTTAACTGCACGAGGAAACTGCTACAATTTTAATGTTTATGATTTTTTAACAATGGGGATGTTGCCTGGGTCAAAAAGCAAGAGTTTTAATTAGTCCGTCAGTTAACTTATCAAAAAATACTCTACACGTATTTTTCACTTTTTCAAACTAATGAAAATTTAAAGAGATAAAGCGCCCCAAAGTTCATAAGAAGAGGCCCGTGACGTCAACGCTTGCTTATAAATGCCGCACGTTGTGACGTCGTGCGCAACTTCAACGCACCATAACTATGTAATTATTTGTTAGATTGACAAATAAAAATATATGTGTCCAATATTTTTTGATATTAAACATTACGGACTAAAAAAATTTTTTTAGGCAACTAGCCTATTGCCATTGCAAGAAACCTGCCTTTTCCATGTTCTTGGAAAAAGTAAATTTATAGTAATCCGTTTTTGAGAAATACTCGTAACTCGTAACCTAGAAGAATATTTTAAAGATGTTGGGTCGTGTATACATAATTTTCTTAAGAAAAGTTTAGAAGCGTCCACAGTTATACCGTTACACTTTAAATCCATGTTAACATCATGAGTAAATTAAGAGTGATATACACAAGTCATTAGTTACAGAAACCTTTGCACATTAATTATTACTGTTACTAAAGATAAACATATATTCTCAAGCTTAATAAGCAGTTCGTTCGGTGCGAAACGCGCATTCTGTTTAGGGATTCACTATGGACTTTGGTAACTAACATGCATTGGGTAAGAACAGCTCGCTAGTGGGTACTCGGTTTTACTTACAAGTATGTGTCAGTGTCAGTTTATCAGCTTGACGTTAATGACTGGTATTTTTCACATCATTGGAGTTAACAGTAAATTAACATTTACAAATTAACAATTAAATTGTTATCGGATGTCAAGTTCACGGCATGCGCATTCAGTCGTGGAAAAGACTTTTATTTTTCAGTTACCTATCGGCCCATTGTTACAGCTCTATTACACATCAATGGGAACTATTTTTAGAGTAAATTTTGCGAATCAGAACGCAGATTGTAACGTAATATTGGATTTGGGAGTCAAACAGATGTTTGAAAAATTTATATTTGGCACCTGTAGCATCAAAAACGTCTAACACGTTTGTTTCGAAACTTTTCGGTTTCATTTTTGTGAAACTGAAGTTGATTCATTGACATTTTATTTTGTGTTTCATCTAGTAAAAAATTATAATGACACTTAACCAATTAACGGACTTTATGTTAATGAGTCAAATTGTTGGAAAATCGACGTTAGTCAAACCACGACAAGTTTCGAGAAAAACAAACAAATATGCGGAAAACATAACTAACCCAGTATTTTAGGGTGCATTGATGGCGGTAATAACATGTTTTTGTTACTGTAATGAGATCTTATATACTATTGTTCTTCGAGACGTCGTTCCCAGAGTACCCCTGAGTACATAAGTACCTATGTTTCATGGTTTCATGTTGATGAATGACTCAGTTCTATTGTATGACTTTACAGTATCTAAGATCTAAAAGGATATCTTTGATAGGTCATTAAACAATATAAAATGGTTTTATTTCTTGCGAAATTGTAACCAAGCTGTAAGTATTAAAATTAAAGGTTCTATTTCGATTTATTTATTGTCTTCCTTGGTTGAAATAAGTCAATTATTAGGGACCTTTGTATCTATTTCAACATCATCAGTATTTCTTTGCAAAGTATATTATGCAATGCAATTTGTTTTACGATGGCAATT